CCTTCACATCTTTGCATAGCATGTAACACTCCCTGACATTTATATATTTATATTTATACTTATATATTTTTTGAAACAGGGTCTCACTTTGTCACCCAGTCTGGAGGGCCTGGCCTGGCCTGCACTGTCACCCAGGCTGGAGTGCAATGGCGAGATCTCGGCTCACTGCAACCTCTGCCTCCCAGGTTCATTTGATGCTCCCGCCTCAGCCTCCCAAGTAGCTGGGATTTCAGGCACACGCTACTACACCTGGCTGATCTTTTGTATTTTTAGTAGAGATGGGGTTTCACTATATTGGCCAGACTGGTCTCGAACTCCTGACCTTGTGATCCACCCACCTCAGCCTCCCAAAGTGCTGGGATTGCAGGCGTGAGCCACCATGGCTGAGCATGGCTCGCTGCAGACCTCAACCTCTTTAGCTCAAGCGATCCTCCCACCTTATCCCCACAAGGTGCTGGGATTCCAGTGTAAGCCACCGCACCTGCCCTTAGATTCTACATTTACTTCCTCACTGTCTCCCACACGTGAATGTCAGCTCCCCATGGACAGGGATTTTTGTCTGTTGTGTGTTCATAGCTGTATGCCCAGGGCATAGCATGCTGCTGGTGCCATATAAATATTTGCTGAGTTAATTAATTAAAAAGTGCTATGGGGAGAATAAACAAGATGTTAACACAGGGAATGAATGTTTGCGTGCAGCTGTTGGATAAGCAAGGGCATAGGGAAAGCCTTTTCGAGGAGGTGATATTGTTCTTCTCTGCCTTTTTTTTTTTTTTTTTTTTTTGAGACGGAGTCTTTTTTTTTTTTTTTTAAGACGGGGTTTCACCATGATGGCCAGGCTGGTCTTGAACTCCTGACCTCAGGTGATCTACCCACCTCGGCCTCCCAAAGTGCTAGGATTATAGGTGTGAACCACTGCGCCTGGCCTGAGACGGAGTCTTGCACTGTCACCCAGGCTGGAGTGCAATGGCGAGATCTCGGCTCACTGCAACGTCTGCCTCCCAGGTTCATTTGATGCTCCCGCCTCAGCCTCCCAAGTAGCTGGGATTTCAGGCACACACTACTACACCTGGCTAATCTTTTGTATTTTTAGTAGAGATGGGGTTTCACTATATTGGCCAGACTGGTCTCGAACTCCTGACCTCGTGATCCACCCACCTCAGCCTCCCAAAGTGCTGGGATTGCAGGCGTGAGCCACTTTGCCTGGTCTTTTTTTTTTTTTTTTTTCTGACAGTCTTGCTCTGTTGCCCAGGCTGGAGTGCAGTTGAGTGATCTCAGCTCACTGCAACCTCCACCTTTCACATTATAGCAATTTTCCCACCTCAGCCTCCTGAGTAGCTGGGATTACAGGCACCCACCACCATGCTAGGCTAATTTTAAAAATATTTTTGGTAGAGATGGGGTCTCACCATGCTGGCCAGGCTGGTCTTGAACTCCTGACCTCAGGTGATCCACCTGCCTCAGCCTCCAAAAGTCATGAGATTACAGGCATGAGTCACCATCACCAGCCCTTCTCCTTCCTTTTTAATACAGGAGATTATTAATACAGGAGAGTGTCCAGGGCGGCAGGCTGAGGACCTGCTTCCTGGGACACACTTCTGGGTTGTCTTGGGGAGTGCTCCAGAGAGCAAAAGAAAAAAAAAATGCTCAGGCCAGGCACAGTGGTTCATGCCTGTAATCCTAGCACTTTGGGAAGCTGAGGTGGAAGGATGGCTTGAGGCCAGGCGTTCCAGACCAGCCTGACCAACACAGCAAGACCCCAACTCTATAATAATAACAAAAAAGGCTCAAGTTTTTAAGAAAAAAGGACAAATCAGGAGAGGCGGTGATTACAAAAGTTGTTCATCAGGAAATTTCATTGGTTTACAAACAGCACGTTGATTGGTGATTGGGTATACGTGGGTGAACTTTAGGGTGTGTGGCACTTCATACCTACTTGGTATCAGGTAATCTAGAGCCCGAATAGCACGTAGCCTCAAAAGGTAATTATTGGACGGGTACATATAGCTCATGCCTATAATCCCAACTTGAGGCCAGGAGTTCAAGACCAGCCTGAGCAACACAGCAAGACCCTGTCTCTACAAAAGAGTTAAAAATGAGTCAGTCATAGTGGCGTGCCCCTGTGGTCCCAGCTACTCAGGAGGCTGATGCAAGAGAAGCATTTGAGCCCAGGGGTTGGCAGCTGCTGTGAGCTATGATGGCACTCCAGCCTGAGTCCCTGTCTCTAAAAGGTAATTAAAACAAAATTTTAAAATAAATTTTCCTGAAGTCCCTCTAAGCCAGGTGCAGTGGCTGGCACCTGTAATCCCAGCACTTTAGGAGGCCTGGGGCGGGAGAATCATTTGATCCCAGGAGTTTGAGACCAGCCTAGACAGCACAGTGAAACCCCACCTCCAATAAAAACTAAAAAATACCTGGGCACGGTGGCTCATGCCTGTAATCCCAGCACTTTGGGAGGCCAAGGCGGGTGGATCACGAGGTCAAGAGATCGAGACCATCCTGGTCAACATGGTGAAACCCCGTCTCTACTAAAAATACAAAAAATTAGCTGGGCATGGTGGCACGTGCCTGTAATCCCAGCTACTCAGGAGGCTGAGGCAGGAGAATTGCCTGAACCCAGGAGGC